GGAGAAGATGAGATGAGACGTCCCAGCTAAAGGAGTGATGCAGGGAGAAAAAAGACAGGGTTGCAAATTCCTCCTTCCACTTTCCGTTCTATTCAGTCCCTCAGTGGATTGGATGGGGTCTGACCTGTACTGGGGAGGGCTGCTTACTTTGTTGAGTCCACTAATTCAAATGCTAATCTCATCTGGAAACATCCTCACAGACACACTCAGAAATAATGTTTAATCTTTGGCCCATTTAAACTGATACATAAAATTAACCATCACATATTGCTAGGTACTTGAAAAAAGAATAGATTTGGAAAATGGGTGACAAGGATGTCTGGGGAAGAGGTCTATGGATGGACCTCTTGGAAGATCAGATTATAAAGATGTTTGTGTCCCAGGTAAATGATGACCAAAGGCATTCACTGAAGAGAAGCTCTCAGTAATTAGGTGGACAAATCATGTATTCTGTGGATGTCATTCTCTTTTCCCAGCCACTCCAGTGCTTGCTGAATGGGTGCATGAAAAGAGCAGCCATGGTGGTAGGGATAGAGTCTATTCATTGGTTTGACAGCATGGATTTGCTCTTACCAAGGCTGACCTAGCAAACACCACTGCTGAGAGCCTACTGTGTTAGCAAAAGACCAATACTGATTCCCTACTATGGTCCCCTTCACTGGGGGATCCAACCAGTCACCTCATGGCAGGCTGATTACATTGGACCTATTCCATCCTGGAGAGGGCAGAGATTTGTCCTCAGTGGAATAGACATGTTCCAGACCTGAATACACCTTTCCTGCCCGACAATGTCTCCGCCAGTAGCGGAGTCTATGGACTCACAGAACCCCTTACCCCCATCGTGGTATTTCCTGTAACACTGTTTCTGATCGGTGATTTCCATAGCACTGCTTCTTTTATAGCAAAAGGAATGCAGCAATGGGCTCTTGGCCATGGAATTAAGTGGTCTTCTCCATACTCCATCAATTAGAAGCAATTAGGCAAATTTTGAAAGCTTACTAATGTAATAGAATGGCTCACTGAAGACTCATTTGTGTCAGTCGAGAGGCATGTCTTGAAAGAAATGGGTGCTATATTAAAGAATACCAAGGGCTGCCTGAGTGGCTCAGTCAGTTAACCATCTGCCTTCGATTCAGGTTATGATCTCAGGGTCCTGGGATAGAGTCCCACATCAGGCTTCCCACTCAGCAGGGAGTCTGCTTCTCCTTCTCACTCTCCCTCTGTGCTCTCGTTCTCTCTCTCTCAAATAAGTAGATAAAATCTTAAAAGAAAAAGAAAAAGAATACCGGATATGCTTTGAAACAGAGAATAATCCAAGGTGGTGTTTCCCCCCAGTCAGAACATATGGGTCTTGGAATCAAGGAGTGGAAGTGGCTCATTCACTTGTAAGCCCAATCATTCATTGGTAGAATTTTTGCTTCCCACCCTGGCTGCCTTGTGTTCTACTTGTATGGAATTCTTAGTCTGCAAAGAGAAGATGCTCTCCAGAGGACTCCCTATGGCCCGAGGTGAATTACCCCAGTCACTGTGGCGCTCTGCCAGACCTAACAGAGGAGAAGAGAAGCATCACTGACATTTCTGTGAAGAGTCCAGGAGAAAGACAATCTCTCAAAGGTGCTCGTTTCTGGATAATACATTCTGGGTAGTGTTGGAAGAGTTTGGATTCTGTCAAGTTTATACAAGAAGAGAGAAATCAGCCATGCATACAGATTTTTTTATTTGCTTGTCTAAATGGAAAGAAAAGTCATGGTTTCAAGAATGTTGAAGTGGACAAATCTTTCCCAGGCTTCTGAGACTCTTGAAGATGCAGTTGAAAAGCTTGCATACCATCCTATCTTGTAAGTTGTGGCATAAGACTAACACAGAGCCGAGTTGCTGGTTAACACAAAATTAATGTTAGTCCAGTGACATACTGCTTTAGCCATCCCTGGTGACTATGCTAATGTTATTACTATGCATACATTCACATCTAGATGAACGGCTCACTTGCACCTTTAAAGATTTTTGTTTATTTATTTGACAGCCAGAGATGGAACACAAACAGGGGGAGTGATAGAAGGAGAAGCAGACTTCCAGCTGAGCAGGGAGCCTGATGCTGGGCTCCATCCTAGGACCTGGGATCAGGACCTGAGCCAAAGGCAGAGGCTTGATGACTGAGCCACTGAGGTGCCCCATTTATTTTAAAGAGTGGGGAGGGGCGGAGGGAGAGAATCTTCGAGTAGACTCCCTGTGGAGCACGGAGCCGGGTGTGGGACTCGATCCCATGATCCCAAGATGGTGTCCGGAGCCGAAATCACCAGTTGGATGCTCAACCGTTAGCCACCCAGATGTCCCTCCACTTGTATTTTTACAACAGTGCCTCTTTCGTTTGTATTCTCATGTTGTAGTTCAATGCACATATTCTGGTGTCTGATACTGGGGTTTGAATCCCGGCTCAGTCACTTTCCAATTCTGTGATCTCATGTATGTCAATTAACCTCTCTGTGCCCAAGTTTCCTTATCTACAAAACAAGGATGATGGTGGTATGTACTTCAGAGTGTTTGGAGATTTAATTAAGATAACACATTCAAAGTCCTTACAGTAGTGCTTGGCCCACAGTAAGCAATGAATACACGTTAGCAATTAATATAATCATTTAGCCATGCTTGCTCAACGTCTACTTGCCAGGAATACAGACCATTTTATATCCTCTATCTCTCTTTCTCTGGCAAACCTTCAGAATGCCTGCTAAATATCTGTAATGGACCAAATTGTGTCTCCTTCCCTCTCCTCCCAAATTCACATGTGGAATCCTAACCCCCAAAGAGACTGCATTTGGAGATGAAGACTTTAGGGAGGTAATTACTTCTTTAGGTCACATGGGTGGGCCTCTAATCTGATAGGATTGGTGTCCTTATACAAGGAGGAAGAGACATCACATCTCTCTCTCTCTCCATGCAGGGAAGAAGAGGCCACATGAAGACACAGAGGGTGAGGCAGCTGTCTACAAGCCTGGAAGAGAGCCCTCCCCAGAAACCAACCCTGATGATGTCTTAATCTTGGACTTCTGGCCTCTAGAACTGCAACAAGAGAAATGTCTGCCGATTAAGCCGTCTAGTCTGTGTATTTTGTCATGGTGGCCCGAGTAGTCTAAGAGCAAGACATGATGAAGTTTCCTAATTTACATGCTCAGTGAGACAAATGAGCAGTGCTGATATATGGTGTCCGAGATCATCCTTGAACACCATTTACCCATCGTGTGAAAGTCTAGTATCTACCATGGTGTGTGTGTGTGGGGGGTCATAAACACTGTCAGGAATACTGTTCACTTGATTCCATCTCATGATAATTGTTTTTTTTTCCCTGCAAAATTCATCAAAGCCCTAGGCTGACTACTAGATATGCAGGTACTAGTTATTATCTGTGAGAAGCCTTCACTGTTACTTCTATCTGCTTTTAGGCTAATCATAGAGGACTTTGTAGGAATAAGAACTTGGTTGACTGAGTCACTGATCAGATTCTGGGCTAATGTGTTTGTGGGGCAACTGGAGCCTCCCGTTCCCTCACCAGCTGGGCAGTGCTGGGTGAAATCCTGATCATTCCAGTTCTGGGGGTGCCCGAAGCCCTCCCTTGTTTGTCCCCTTTTGCCTGAGCCTGCCCTTCTCACGGTTTCTTCCTCCAGTTTCAGTCCTATAGGGGTGGGATCTGGATGACAGGGTTGCCTTTGAAAGACTACAGTCACAACAAGCATTCACGAGTTAAATTGCACTAATTAAAGATTTAAGGATCAGAGGAAGAAGATGGGGGCCTTAGGGAGGTGAAGCCCAGCATTGAAACTTCCTCTCCTGCTGGGAAGTTTCTTTTTTCTTTTTTTTTAATCCTCTTTTCTCCTCACCTTTCCTTACAGAATTCCCTAAGAACTTTCCCTATAAGGCATGGAAAAATTTAGCGGGGCTCCGAGACTCACACTTGCAGAAACCCTAGTAAATAAGATGATTAGGGCACAAGGAGTCTTCCATGTTAAGGCAGTTCTGCTTACATATTTATTATAAATATATATTACATACAATATGTAGGACAAGTACCATGGAATGCATATTACGTGCATGATTATATGCATGATGTAATGCATATATAAAAATATTATATAGTTATAAATTAATGTCCTCTTTTTTCTTTTTCTTACTATATCAGGAACACTTCAGGCCATTTGGACATAAAAGGAGCTACTGAGTTGAGAGAGAGAGAGAGACTGCTGAGCCTGAGTCTCATCAGACTCACGCACTGACTCGTGAAAAGCTGGTTGGAATTTACTTCTTAATTTATTCCTCGGGTGTAGGGTGTTCAGAATCTGGAAGTAGGAATTATATAAATCATGCCGCTTTAGCAAAATCAGGACAAAATGGCTTTTCAGATCTTTTATTAAGGCTTTCCTAAGATTATCATGAAATAAGCAACTTGAAAGAGAGCGAAAGAGAGATCTCCAAAAAAGTTTATTAGCCCACGCTGAGTTTCCGAATGAACCTCCGTGAAACAGAAGTTGATTTCTACGCATTTTGACTCTAAAAGAACGACACAGAAAATGTAAACGCGTCTGCCGAAGACTCATGCAAAGCCACAACGATTGTCGTCTGAAGGCCACGCGTTTGGAACAGGCTTTCCGCTTGGAAAGCTCTGACCAGCGCATCCGTGGGGCCAGGGAGGAGGGCTGGGCCGCCGCTCCCGGCAGCGAGCGACCTTCCCGCGCAGGCTCCGCACTCCCCGACTTCGCGCCGAGCCAGGGGGTACGGACACCGCACCCCGCGGCTCCCGAGCGCCCCTGGGCCGGGGCCCACGCCCACCGCGGCCGCCTCCCCGCCCTCTCCCGCCGCCGCCCACGCCCCGTCGCGGGGGGCTGGGCAGGAGGCGGGCAGCTGGCCCGCCCCGAGACCCTTTAAAGCGTCGCGGGCGAGGGCCGGGCGCGATAAGCTCAGCGGTGGAGAGAGCTGCTCCGAGCTCAGCGCTCAGGGCTGCCCTTCGCCCGCCGGCGGGGCGGCGCTGTCGGCCGGGGCGGGCGCTCCGGGCTCCCCGACGCCTCCTGTTCGCCGCGGCCGCGCCACCCCGCTCTGTCCTGCCAGTCCCGGGCGTCCCTGCCATGCGCCCAGGCTAGTGCGCACAGGGCGCAGCGCCGAACCCGGCCGCGCCCTCCGCCCGCTCCAGCCGCCCGCTCCCGCCGCCGGCATGCTGCGCCCACTGCTGCTCGCGGCGCTCTGCCTGGCCGGCCGGCTCGAAACCACCCGCGGCTGCCAGCTGCCCTCCGAGTGGAGACCCCTGAGCGAGGGCTGCCGCGCGGAGCTGGCCGAGATCATCGTGTACGCCAAGGTGCTGGCGCTGCACCAGGAGGTGCACGGCCTGTACAACTACCTGCCGTGGCAGTACGAGGCCAGCGATGCGGGGCTCTTCTACTCGGCCGAGATCGAGATGCTGTGCGACCAGGCGTGGGGCAGCATGCTCGAGGTTCCCGCAGGCTCCAGACTCAACCTCACCGGCCTGGGCTACTTCTCATGTCACTCCCACACCGTGGTCCAGGACTACTCCTATTTCTTCTTCCTCAGGTGAGCGCGGCACCTCCCGCCCACACCTCCTCCTCCAGCTATTTCATGACCTCCCGAGGGCACCGTTATCTGGAGCCAGGCCCGGAACAACAGGGAATCCTGTCCGTGCCATTCAGGAATAAGCCTTGGGCTCCTTTTCCTTCCTCTTTATTCTCTCCTGCTCCGTGGGACGTCTGACAAAGGTCCTGGGTGCATTTGGCTAAGGCTGTTAAAAACAAACAAAACGAGGTTTGATTTCTGTGCTTAAAGCGTAGAAGATTGTTTCAGGCAAAAGCCCAAGGTGGTTTCCAAAAATCCATTTGACTCTTTTCCTTTAAATGTATACTTTTAATTGGATTCCCTGGAAGTAGCTTGGGATGGTGAGGAGGGGGGAAGAAACCCCAAATTTTGAAATCAGACTCGTTGGAATTCTGGCTCTGCTCCTCCTGCGATTTTTTTTTTTTTTTTTTTGAGAAAATTGTCTTTTGAAGAACCTCCCTGTCCTCACTTCCATAATGTGAGAAACAAGCTTGGTTGAGACTAGCGCACAATTACGCAGAACACCTGGTGCAGGGTAGATGCGGAAGGAGTAGTCCCTCTTTTCCCCACCTGCTGAAATGCCAAGATAGGCATGGTGTGGAATGCAGCCCAGCTGTTTTTGTTTGACTCTTTATCCACCACCATCGGACCTCAGCGCTGGGCTTTGCAAAATAGCAAAGGTTTCTGTGGGGGCCTTCTGGAGGGGTGTCTGGTTCAGAGTGCTTTGAAGAGTATAGGTGAAACAGGCAGGCGGTGCTCTCTGACTGGAGGCTCCTGGAATCTTGTTAAGTTCCATGAAAGTTGGCCTGCAGTCAAGATGGAATTCACGTGTATAAGAATTCAGTCGATGGGTTTGCAGTTTGAAATGGAGAACAGGTGGAACCCTGAATGCATTGGCTGTCTCCAGTTGAATCAGGGTGGTATAGAACAGCTGAGAGAAGCCTTGAACTAGAATGTAACCTCCATATTAAACTAGTGAGGGAATTAATCCACAGTTGAGACTGGTAATGGTTCCAGTTTTCCCAGTCTGTGAAGTGGCAGCAAGGACAGTTGGAATGACTGTGACCCCAGTCTGCAGACTCAATTTTAGTTCTTGAGACTTCACATCCTGCTGAGAAAGAAAAAAAAAAAAAGTAAGATGCACCCGGGGGGCGTTCATAAGCTCATGGCAACACATGTTTCCCGTATTGAAGCCAGAACCTCTAAGTTTAGAATACGTGGCGTGCTTCGTGTTGGCTTGAGTGGTTTAGTGAGATTAAGTTTTTTTTTCTTTAATTGCTGAGGAAGTATAGTTTCTAAATAAAGTCAGCAAGGAGTGAGATAGTATCCTTGATGCAAAGAAACTTAACTCTGCTTTTTCATGTATTTCCTTAGGAAGGACACTGAGACCCCAGCTATAAAACTATTAATCACTGAAACTTTCTTTTCCAAAGAAAAAAAAGAGCTGGAGAACTTAAGCAGACATGATTTTTCCCCTGATTTTTATCATGAAAGAGCTTTGTCCGGTGGCTGTGTGGTGGTCAGCCAGCTCTTTCATCTTTCCCTCTGACATAGTTACAAAAAGTTAGGGCAGAAATACAGAGTCAACTGGTAGTCTGACAGATTTCCATTTCACAGGGCTGTGTTGCCCTGAAGTGCGTTAACAGCCGCATACAAATCATTCCTCCCCTGTTATTCTGGGACCCAGTGAGATGAGAACAGATTCTGGGCAGTGTCACAGGGGAAAGTGGCAGTGGAGGCTCCCTGACGAGGCCTCCATCACTTCTTTGTACTGAAGGGTAACTTTGACCTCCTCTCCCTCTACGGGATTTCTTTCTCTTTCCAACACCGTTTACTCTGAGCTCTATAACAATGTTAAGATCTCTACCGTTCTCTATGCCAGCTACTTGATCTAGTGCAGTCCTTCCACCACCAGCAAGAAGGTGTTATTCTCTTTTTACAGACTGGAATAGTGAAGCTTAGCTAATAGAGGAAATTCAACTCTTGACAGAAGAGCAGTAGCAATGGCAGGATTCGAACCTGGGTCATTAGAACTGGCTTTCCTTTGGTCAAGAAACGAGGAACACCCAGTGAGAAAGAAGGCCACTTGGGAGATCTACAAGTAGACAAACCCATATGCACACCCCCACCCCCACAACCCTTCACCCAAACTCCCCTTTGGGAAAACCTTAAGGATAGCTTCCTCTAATGTGAGGCAGAGAAACATTTAGAAATGGTAAGTCCTTGAATGAGAGCCACGTGAGAACTAGTGTAATGGCGAGATTGCCAGTCTTTACAACTCTTGATGAAAGCTGGTATGCCCTATGGCTGTCCAGTCTAGAGTTGAGATTTTTCCTTTTTTCCCCATTAGGATGGATGAGAATTACAATCTCTTGCCTCACGGAGTCAATTTCCAGGATGCCATCTTTCCGGACACTCAAGAGAACCGAAGGATGTTTTCCAGTCTTTTCCAGTTTTCGAACTGTTCTCAGGGGCAGCAACTGGCAACTTTTTCCAGCGACTGGGAGATCCAGGAAGACAATAGGGTAAGAATTGGCTGTTCCCTGTGTCACAGCAAAATAACAGACTAGCTACAAGTTGTCTGAATTTTATGACCAAAGGAGTCAAATGTATTCTTCCAGAAGCCCAGACCAAAGAGTATTATCCCTCCTGTTACCCTGCAGTTAAAAAAAAAAAAAAAAAAAAAAAAGGTTAAAAAAAGAACACTGTTCATAAACTGGATTCCTGGGGCTTGACTAGTTGGTTGGGATTCCTCATAAAGTGAGAGAACAGATGGAATGAAGTTTGGCACACAGCCTCAGTTTCCTCTCCTATAAAATGGAAACAATCTACATCATAGAGTTGATGCAATATGATTTAACATTGTTAAAAAAAAAGTAAAAAAATGAAAATGTTAAAGCCTTTAACCTAGTGACTGACAAAGTACTCAGTTACCTGAGAGCCGTTATGACTATTATATTATTACTCTTATTGATGGCATAATCTAGGGACTCTTCTAAGGGTGAAGAGAAAGTCCTCAAGGAAATGGTTGTCTTAGCTAACACATCCATGGTCGTTAACTCTAGTTATGAAGACTTCAGAGGTACAGGGTGGCCAAAGCGGGCTGGAATGTAAGAGTTAAGATAATCTGAAAATATAAAAAGGATCTGCCCATCTGAGACCGATGCTAGAGCTGGGAGATTTTAAAGACTGTCCCTTTCCCAAATGGCCTTGCTATACTTGAGCTAGGATGATTGTAGGACTGGGACTGTAGAGCAAGTGGCCAGGCCCAGTCTCCCATCTGAGATGTTTTTAGGGCAGTGTGACAGATGGTTGGGAGATTCTGATGTGGGGTTTTAGGTATCCAATAGGACAAGGACTATCTTGATGGATTGATGAACTAGTTTGCACATGTTAAGTGGCTCACATGGGTCCCCAGATCTAGAAGTGTTAAAATGGTAGTGGAGTTTCTCTTCCTCCTCCTCTTCCAACCAGTAGCTACTGTTGCTTGTTTCTTATAAATGTTAGAGCATTTTCACCCAAAAGATAATTCAAACTTGTATTATTTACTGTAGTCTTTGACACAAATGGCAGCCCACCATGCACACTTGGCTATATGTTGCTTTTATTCACAAGTAGATCTTGAAGATTTTTTCTACATCAATACGGATAAAGTTGCCTTACAGGCTGTGTAGTGTGTTCCGTTGTGTGCATATGTCGCAATATATTTAATCAAGTCCTCTGTTAATAGGTGACTAGGTTGGTTTCCAGTATGTTATTCCAAAGAGTGTGGACATGTAGGATATTATACATACCTCATTTGGTAGGACTGCAAGTGTCTAATCTTTAGCCAATATTATGTGTCTACTATACAGCAGCTACTGTATTAGATGCTAGTTTTTCAATGTTGAAAACCTTCCACCACCAGCAAGAAGGTGTTATTCTCTTCTTTTTACGGACTGGAATAGTGAAGCTTAGCTAATTGAGGAAATTCAACTCTTGGCAGATAGGGGAGCAGTAGCAATGGCAAAAATACGAAGTCCCTGGTCTCCTGAAGGCTGAGTAATATTCCATTGTGTATATGGACTACGTCTTCTTTATGCATTTGTCTATCGAAGGGCATCTCCACTCTTTCCACAGTTTGGCTATTGTGGACATTTCTGCTGTGAACATTGGATGCATGTGGCCCTTCTTTTCACTTCATCTGTATCTTTGGGTGGATATTAAGAAGGGCATGTATTGCACGGAGTGCTGGGTGTTATACAAACAATGAATCACGGAATATTACATCAGAAACTAATGATGTACTGTATGGTGACTAATATAACATAATAAAAAAATAAGAAATTTTTAAAAATGAGCTCATGGGGTGCCTGGGTGGCTCAGTGGGTTAAGCCTCTGCCTTCAGCTCAGGTCATGATCCCAGGGTCCTGGGATCGAGCCCCGCATGGGGCTCTCTGCTCAGCAGGGAGCCTGCTTTCCCCCCTCTCTCTCTGCCTGCCTCTCTGCCTACTTGTGATCTCTCACTCTGTCAAATAAATAAAATCTTAAAAAAAAAAAAAACTCATGTGGTAATTGTCTTACTCTCACTTATTTCACGTTACATAATGCACTCAAGGTCCATCCTTCATCCATTGTTGGAAATGGCAGGATCTCCTTTATGAAGGCTAAGTAATCTTTGTGCATATATATACCACAGTTTCTTTATCCCTTCATCTGTCAGTGAACATGTAGGTTGTTTCCCTGTCTTGGCTATTGGGAAAAATGCTTCACTGAACGTGGGAATGCAACTAAGCCTTCAAGGTACTGATATCATCCAGTTTGGGTTTATACCCAGAAGTGGGATTGCTGGGTCATTTGGTAGTTCTATTTTTAGTTTTTTAAGGAAAGTCCATACTGTTTCAGCTGTATGAAGTTTACATTCGCACCAACACTGTTTGAGGGACCTACCTCTTCTCCACATCCTTGCCAACACGTGGTATCTTCTAGGTTTTGGATAATAGCTGTCCTAACATGTGTGAGGTGATAATTCATGGTGCTTTTGGGTTACATTTCCCTGATGATTAGTGATGTTGAGCATCTTTTTGTGTGTGTGTTGACCCTCTATGTGTCCCTGGAAAAGTGTCTAGTCAGGTCCTCTGCCCATTTTTAAAAAAATTTAAATTCAATTTAGTTAACATATAGCATATTATTAGTTTCAGGGGTAGAATGTGGTGATTGATCAGTTGCATTTAACACTCAGTGTTCATTATGTCAAGTGCCCTTCTTAATGCCCATCATTCCAATTACTCCATTCTCCCACCTTCCGGCAACCCTCAGTTTGTTTCCTGTAGTTCATAGTCTCTTGGGATTTGCCTCCCTTTGTTTTTGTCTTATTTTATTTTTCCTTCCCTTGCTCTTTGTTCATCTGCTTTGTCTTTTAAATTCCTCATGAGTGAAATCACATGGTATGTCTTTTTCTGGTCAGTCTTTCAGCCTTTTCATGGTCAGTCTTTTTCTGACTCTTTTGCTTAGCATAATACCCTCTAGTTCCATCCACAACATTGCAAATGGCAAGATTTCATTCTTTTTGATGGCTGAGTAAAATTCCATTGCATACATATATACACCACATCTTTATTCGTTCATTGGTCAGTGGACATCTGGGCTATTTCTGTATTTTGGCTATTGTGGACTTTGCTGCTATAAACAGTGGGATGCGTGTACCCCTTTGGATCACTGTTTTTGTATCCTTTGGATAAATATCTAGTAGTGTAATTGCTGGGTGGTAGGGTAGCTCTATTTTTAACATCTTAAGGAACCTCCATACTGTTTTCCAGAGTGGCTGTACCAGCTTGCATTCCCCCCAGAAGTGTAAGAGGGTTTCCCTTTCTCCACATCCTTGCCAACATTTGTTTCCTGAGTGGTGAATTTTAGCCATTCTGACTGGTAGGAAGTGGTATCTCATTGTAGTTCTGATTTGGATTTCCCTGATGCTGAGTGATTTGAGTGTTTTTTCATGTGTCAGCAATTTGTATGTCTTCCTTAGAGAAGTGTCTGTTCATGTCTTCTGCCCATTTCTTGACTGGATTTTCTTAGTTTTTTGGGTATTGAGCTTGGTAAGTTCTTTATATATTTTTGGATACTAGCCCTTTACCTGTCATTTGTGAATATGTTCTCCCATTCTACAGGTTTTATTTTAGTTTTGTTGATTGTTTCCTTTGCTATCCTCTGCCCATTTTAAAATCCAATTGTTTTTTGGTGTTCTGTGAGTTCTTTGTATGTTTTGGCTATTAACCTATTATTGAATATATCCTTTGCAAATATATGCTTTCATTCAGTAGGTTGCCTCTTTATTTTGTTAATGGTTTCCTTCACTGTGCAAAAGGCTTTAGTTTGATGCAATCTCAATTTTTTATTTCTGCTTTTTTTGCTTTTGCCTGAGGAGACTTACACAAAAATTATGCTCAGACCGACGTTCAAGAGTTTACTGCTTATGTTTTCTTTTTAGGGGTTTTTTAGTTTCAGGTCTTGCACTTAGAGTTTTTAATCCATTTAGAGTTTATTTTTGTATATGGTGTAAGGAAGTGGTCCAGTTTCATTCTTCATGTAGCCATTCACTTTTTCCAACACTATCGAAGAGACTGTTTTTTCCCTATAGCATATTCTTGCTGTTGGCATTCTGATAGGGATTACACTGAATGTGTAAATTGCTTTGGGTAGTATGGATATTTTAACAATACTAATTCTTCCAATCCATGAGCATGGTATATCTTTCCATTTGTGTCTTCAACTTATTTCATTAGTGCTTTATAATTTTCATAGTACAGATATTTCATCTTCTTGGTTAAATTTATTCTTGGGTATTTTATTATTATTATTTTGGTTTTTTTTTAAAGATTTTATTTATTTATTTGACAGAGATCACAAGTAGGCAGAGAGGCAGGCAGAGAGAGAGAGATGGGGGGAAGCAGGCTCCCCGCTGAGCAGAGAGCCCGATGCGGGGCTTGATCCCAGAACCCCGGGATCATGACCTGAGCCGAAGGCAGAGGTTTGAACCCACTGAGCCACCCAGGTGCCCCAACGTTTTATTATTTTTGATGCAATTGTCAATGGGATTGTTTTCTTAATTTCTCTTTCTGATAATTCATTATCAGTGTATAGAAATGGAACAGATGTCTATATATAAATTTTGTATATTAGCATTTCCTATATTTATTGTCCTATCATTTGCACATAGAGACCATTTTACTTCTTCCTTTCCAATCTGGATGCCTTTTCTTTCTTGTCTAATTTCTCTGTTGAGGACTTCCAGTACTCTGTTGAATTAAAGTGATGGGAATGGACATAACCTTGTCTTGTTCCTGATTGTAAGGGTAAGTTTTCAGCTTACCTGATGTTACCTGTGGTTTTTCATATATGGTATTTATTATGTTGAGGTATGTTCCTTCTGTACTCACTTTGTTGAGATTCTTTATCATAAATTATCATGTTGGTTTTTGTGGATGTTGGAGCATTCCTGGAATAAATGCCACTTGTTTGTGGTGAATGGTCCTTCTAATAAAGT